GAGTTAGAAACATCGATGAGAGAGAAACATCGATCAGCTGCCTCCTGCACATCTCCCACTGGGGATGTGCCCGCAACCCAGGTACATGCCCTTGACCGGAATCGAACCTGGGACCCTTCAGTCCGCAGGCCGACGCTCTATCCACTGAGCCAAACCGGTTTCGGCGGGGGAAAGTCTTTATACCTAGAGACTCTAAGCTGTTTTTCCAGCCCTGATGATGGACTTTTCAAAATGCAGTAATGAAAATATATTTGAAATAAATGGTAACAAATATTGGAACAAGTCATTAAAAAAAATTACACCCTTCTATTGCTCAAACTAAAAAAGGGGGTAAGGGGAAAAAATCAAGTCTAACAACTAGAAACTCTTATCACCTCATAGAGGTCTCTACGCTCTATGATTTGCTAAAGCTAAGTTGTCCTTTTTGATTCAACTTTCCCAAGAAACTTGGACTTACCACTTAGTGGGTATATTGTCCTGTGCTGGGCAAAGAGAGGGATTCAAAGTCTGGGTCTTGCTGAGAAACATCAAAAATTGAACCCACAACCTTGACATATTGGGTCGACACTCTAACTGAGCTACCCGGCCAGGGCTTACCTTGACTATTTTTAAATTTGGGTGTGATAAACTAGAAATCCAGGTTAATTATATACACAAAAAAATAAAATTGTGATCTGCAGACTGGCAGATATGCATCAAATGGGCACTTGTTAAAAATGCATCAATTGATGCAAAATTGATGCTTATTCCAAATGGGCACTTGTTAAAAATCTCAGGTTCCACCCTCCATCTTATGAGTTAGGATCTGTATTTTTACAAGATTATCTGAGAATTCATAAAGATGTTTTTTTTAGATATTTTATTTCTATATTTATTTATTTTTTAGAGAGAGGAAGGGAGAGGCATAGAGAGACAGAAATCCAATGAGAGAGAAAAATCATCAATCGGCTGCCTCCTGCATGCCCCCTACTGGGGATAAAGCCTGCAACCCAGGCAAGTACCCTAACCAGGAATCCAAATGGTGATCTTTGGTTCCTTGACCGATGCTCAACCACTGAAACACGCAGGCCAGGCCATAAGCATGTTCTTAACCTTTACTACACATTAATATTTTAACAAAACAAAACAAAAAGCACCACTAGGGATAGCTTCAATTGTTTTGGGGTAGAATCTAGTTTTTGTCTTTTTGGGAAAACTCAGGTGATTGTAAATGCTCTGCACCAGTGGTTAATCTTCACTTTACATTCAAATCATCTGCGGAACTTAAAAAACAAACAAACAAAAACCAAACCCCTCTAAGCTACATCCCAAACTAATCTGATTCTAAGATGCAATTAAGATGCAGACCTACTGCTCTCTAATAAAGATTGACTATGGGCTTCTATTATAGAATAAAGCTAAAAAAAAAAAAAAAAAAAGACTTCCAACAGCTATTTCAAGTCCAAGGACCTCTGAGGGTTCTATGTAAGATGCAAATCTAACTTGCCAGGTAAGTGCAGATCTAACTTAAAGGTAACTGGGATATTAACCACAGTTGAATGACTGCCAAGTGTTAAACTCAAAGGAAGATGGAAAGTCTAATGTTGCTTGTAATTTGCCTAACTTCAGTTTAGTTCAAGACTTTGATAGAGGAAAATTGATGCTTATTCCAAATGAAAAATAAGTCTCTTAAGAGAAATGTCACATCTTTACTTACCACCATTCCAATATTGTTCTGTTGCCCACCAGTTGCCATCTCCACACATTCATCTATCACAAGATTCATAAAGGGATCAAATCCCCGTAATATTCCTTGGACATGTCTGCCACCATTTAATTTCACTATAAAAAAAGGAAAATGAAGTTTTAATAAAACTGGCCATTAACTATCAAGTATTCATTAAATATTAGGTGGAGCCCAGCTGATGTGGCGCAGTGACTGAGCGTCCACCTATGAAACAGGAGGTCCCGGTTTGATTCCGGTCAGGGTGTGTACCGTTTCCGGCTTGCTCCCCACTGTGCAGGAGGCAGCAGACCAATAATTCTCTCTCATCATTAATGTTTCTCTCTCTCTCCCTCTCCTAAAAAAAAAAAAAAAAAAAAAATTAGGTGGAGTAAAACCCAGGTACATGAGATGTGCAATCCACTATCCTTACTATATGCTAAGCACTGGGCTAAACATTTTACATTTACTTCCACATTCAAACTTACAAGAATCCTGTAGAATTATCCCAACTTTTTATGAGGGAACTGAAGTATAAGGCTTTTAAAAGTAACTGGTTCAAGGTTATACAGCTATTGTGTGGTAGGGCTTGGATTCAAACGGAAAGTTGCTTACCTATCTCTAAAGCCATGATCTTAACCCCTACAAACTTCAAATACTATGCAGGTCAGATTTTTAGTTCTTGTCTATGTCCTTTGTTTAAAAAAAAAAAAAAAGATAAAATTTCAAATATCACAATAGAAAAATCCTGTTAATTTTGTGACAGTGAGGGAGGGCTTATATAAACTTTTGAAAAGTCTGAAGTTCTGTGCAATTTATTAAATTGCAAAAATTAGGCAAATAAAACTGTCTAGTTAGGATTTTGCTAGACCTGCTTCATTCGTCAGAGGCTCTGTGTGCTTTGAATCTTTATAAAGTTGCTCCAAACACTGTATACTGCCAAGACATTTGTAAAGACCAACTGAATAATTAAAAACAAAAAAGAAAACTTACATGACAACTTCTTGTCCATAAATCTGAAATAGCAAAGAGATAAAGATTATATAACTACTAAAATTATATTTACACAATAGGAATAACGAAATTTAGTACTTATACAAAGCAATGTATTTTGGGAAGAAGCAAGATAAATAAAATGGAACAGGTTTATAATAAATTAATGTACATTAAATTGAGTCTTTATACTGACGTGAATTACAAAAACATTCTCGTTGTTCAATACTGATCTAATTTCCTATGGCTGGATTTTATAGCCATAATAGAATAACAAATATTTTATTTTATTTTGGTTATTTCGAAAACCAAACAAAATTTTGAAGAAATTAGACGTTGTAATCAAACCACATCCAATCCAATAGCTATATTTGAGACAATAAGTGGTGTTTTGTTTAATATTAAGATTTTATTCTTCAATACATAATGATAGTTTAGCAAAATAATTGCATATTTTGAAGATTTAAACAATTTAAACCAGAAAATCCCATCTCAGCAGAGTACTATACCGGATCTAGGATGGTTAACAAAGGGTTCGAGATCTTCAAGTCACGGGGGAGAGCGTGGGGGAGACGTGGGGCCTCGACCAAATCGGGGAAAGCCAGGGGCCTAAGCTGCCTTGGGTAACCATGCCGACCCAGCAAAAATGCGATTTCTGCGCGGGTTCAGGCCCGGAAGCGTGGGACCCTGGCTGGGACCTGCGCGGCCGAGGACCCGAATGCGCACGCCAGGCGCACTGACGGGAAATGGAGGGGCATACAAAGAAGCCGCCAATCACCCGCGGCCCCCGCAGGTACTTACTTTTTTAACTCGGGAGGGTGAGCTTTGCTCATGGTGGCCAAGCGAGCTCAAAGATACCTCCAAACGGAATTCGGGGCCGCTCTGGCGCTCCCGCGGTAGGCCCGGCGTTTTGCGTCTGACTTCACCGATCCGTTAGCCAATCGGTTGCCGGCAACTTTCACATTTCACCTCGCGATACTAAGGGGAAGCCTGAGCGTGTAGACTAGGCCCGAGCTTCCGGTTGCGTCGCCAGCGATTGGCCAGGGCAGAGGGGTGTGGCCTCGCGAAGTCCTTGATTTCATTTTCTCTTCCGTAAGATTGAGATATAGGTCCCGACTCTTTATTTTTTAATATATTTTATTGGTTTTTTACAGAGAGGAAAGGAGAGGGATAGAGAGTTAGAAACATCGATGAGCGAGAAACATCGACCAGCTGCCTCCTGCACACCCCCTACTGGGGATGTGCCCGCAACCAAGGCTCATGCCCCTGACCGGAATGGAACCCGGGACCCTTGAGTCCGCACGCCGACGCTCTATCCACCGAGCCAAACCGGCTAGGGCAGGTCCCGACCCTTTTAAACAACACCGGTTAATCCTAATTTTAGTGGATCGCGTCCTTTATTTTATTAACTTCTAGCAAATGAAAATAAGTTCTAGATAGGTGGGCCCCTGATAATTTTTTGGAATGTATTCCCACAGCATATTGCTTGCTAAGCCTGGGGTTCCTTTAACATCGCAATTAGTGACCTCTGCACCAAGTAGGGTGACATGCCTCAATTTCCAATAATTTGAATCCAGAGCCCGGAAGTAGATTCCCGATGGGATGGTCTTGCTATTCTTGTAACACTGCCTACCGATCCCTACTTAAATGTGAAATGTACCTTGATCCCATACATAAAACATGAAGCACAGCATACAAACTCTCCGAGGTATTAATTTTCAAGTCAAAAGCGTTAAGTGTAAAAAGTAGTTTCTGAGTTGTTCTCAGTTAACTTACCCAAAATAGGGGAATCCACATTAATGAATGAAATACAATAGGGATTAGAGAAGACTTGGACCAAAATAGAAAAGCCTTGGTGATTCTAAGTACTGGCTGATTCTCTTAAAATTGAATTCATTCCTAATATTCAGGAATGGCTCTACAGGGGTGGGCAAAAATAGATTTATAGTTGTGAGTACACAAAGCAGTCTTTATTCTTATATTCTTATTTATTAATTATTGTATTTTCCATATGAACTGTAAACCTACTTTTGCCCACCCCTGTATTGAAATGCCAATGATAGTAAAGACTTAGTTAAACGAATATATTTTGTATTCTCTTGGTACTCAAAATCCTAGACACTGCATCTTCTCTTGAGGGGTCATAACAGTATCTTTTCTACCTCCTGCTGTTAGTCCTGCATCCAAACCATAACACATAATTTTCACTCTTCTGGACCTCATAAGAAACTTATTTCACACATTACAAGGAAAAGCATTCTTAGAAAGTTATATATTCACTGCCCAGATATAAAAAACACAATAGTAGAGGAAAATTAAACCTTATTTATTTTTTAAAACCAGACCATTAGGAAAATATATCACAGTCTTGAAACAGCAAACAGACAAGCTATTTTATCATTTCAAGTAATAAGTTGGTAAAAAGACAGCAGCTCCTTATCAAAACAGTAAGGTGCCAGAGCTGGGGTAGGAACACTGTATGTTGCAAAGGGCCCGGCAAAAGTGGTATTTGGTAATGGGGGGCTGCCCCTCTTTTTTCTCCCTTGATCTTCCTGTTGCCAAAAGATTGTCTCAGTAGGGCTCTGTTATTTGAGGCGGCTACGTAAGCAATACTGGATTCAGGTTTCATTCCTGAAAACCAGGTTTTTCCCAAATCCAGTACTTCATAACTCTTAATGAAGCAGCAACAATTCCTCTCTCACTGTTTATTCCTGGATATTGGTATACAGCACAATCAAAACCCTCTTGCCCTTCAAGGTGGAGGACCACGGCAAGATTGTCCCGTCACTGCTGCAGACAGGCTTAGGACCCATCACGGCAGCCAGTGAGAAGGAAGGTCTGCTTCCATGTCCAGGGTGACATTGCCTCTCATGTTTCTGTAGGGTTTCCGAGCTGAAAGGTGTAATGTGTGAGCATTTAAATGCATGTCCGCATCTTGGACAGAAACGATATCTATCCAAAGAAACCTTTTCAAGTTCTTATCCAAACTCCCTCCCTCAACTCCACATCTTAAATGAACTTTATGCCCTTGTACCTAAAACCAAACCAAACAAAACAAATACTCAGAAACCGTTTTTCCACTTCTCAATTAGTAACCTCATGGGTTTTGTTTCACACCTTATGGACAATGGTGTGGTAATGCTTCTGGTAAACAGGAGGTTGGCAACAAACAGAAACACCTCTCCTCCCCTCCCACCAGACCACTGGCAGGTTAGAGGACACTGTCAGCTTGTCGGTACCTCAGAGGGCTCTGGCTTCATTTGAGGGAAATGCCTGCTGCCAGGATAAGCATTTGCCACATCAAAAACTCTCTGACCCAAACTTTAGCACCAGTTTTTCCCCCCATTTCACTTTCTAGGATTAAAACATAAAAGAACCCTGTCCAGAGGCAAGTGACACATGCCTTAAACTTGCTGCCATCCTTAATTTCTTCATCCCTAAACTGCTTAAAAGACCAACATTCGCACTCTTCATTTTAAACAGGTTCCTGCCCTCAGCCTCCATGGCCAATGGCAAAGACTGCTATTTCTGAATGGATGAGAGAGACTCCTTCATCTTCTTGGTCATGGTGGGAATGAGGTTCATATGGTCATCTACGCACTTGGTCACACAACTCTCCAGCTGCCGCTTCACCTGACGCTCTTTATTCCCTGCATCTATGGAGTCTTTGGCTTTGTCGTTGCAATGCATGGTGCACCGGGCCAGGCGGTCCTGTGGCAAGAAGGAAGAGAACAGAGAAGGCTAAGAAGTTGGCCTCTATTTACCGAGTGCATATCACGTGCCAGGCCTTGTGCTACATACAGGTAAGTCCTCACTTAACGTTGTCATGGAACTGCGGTGAAACGATGTATAACGATACCAAGTTTACCATAGGCTAATTTGTATACAGGAGTCAAGTTCCTCCAGTTTCTTACCCATGTTATAACAAATGACGTTGTTTGAAGACCTGCTGTGTTTTGGCTTGACATGTATTATCCTGATGAATTAAAGAGACCCTATGGTGAAATTAACCAGGATTATCCTGATTGAAACAGAGGGTGGCACCAGAAGGGCCCAGACAAAGCATTACTAGAAAGCAGGTAAATGACAGAATAAATTGTACAGAAGCCCTTTCCAGGAAGTGAGAAGTAACTAGAGACCAGTTACTCAATTAGAGAAAGACTTACAAACATCTTGATTATTTAATGTCTGTCCTTGCTATAGAAAAACACTCAACAATTACTTATTGAGTATCTTCTGTGTGTCAGATACTCTCCTAATGGGGGATACAGCAATGAATAAAACAGATAAAGTCCTTGCCCTTATAGAACTTATATTCCACTAAGGGTAGACAGACCAACAAAATAAATAAGTGGAGATGTTGAGGAAACCGCTGGATATGTGAATTTGGAGATCAGGAGTGCAGTTGGTCTAAAGATATGTAGTTGTCAGCAAATAGATGATAATTATAATCATGAGACCAGAGAACTAGATAGAAAAAAGGTTCAAGAACAGCCCTGGGGATTCCCATGTTCAGAGGCTGGAAAGGGGAAAAGCCAGCAAAGGAGGTCGTAAAAGGATGGCTAAGGAGAGAGACAGAAAACCAGGAAAGTGAGGTGTCCTGGTAGCCAACTAAATAAAGCGTTTCAAGGAGAGCAAAAGTGATGCACTGTGTAAATGACGCAGATAGGTTGAGTGAGATGAGGAATGAGAAATGACCACTGGATTTAGCCCAATGGAGAGGAGTGGCAAGCGCAGTTCTGGCACAGGAGAAGAGTAAGCCTGAGCGGAGAGGGCTGAAATGTTCTACAGCAGTTCAGGAGTCAAAATTTCAAAGACCCTATTTATAAAATTAGGTGTCAAAATAAACACAAAAATCTTTTGGAGTTTCATGATTTTGGAGACATTATTCTTATCAGCAATTTTAAATAATTTTTATGTAGCAGAATATAAAAATGTAGCACATTAGAATATAATTTATCCATGTTGCCCTGACTGGTTTGGCTCAGCGGATAGAGCATCGGCCTGCGGACTGAAAGACCCCAGGTTCGATTCCGGTCAAGGGCATGTACCTTGGTTGCGGGCACACCCCCAGTAGGTGTGCAGGAGGCAGCTGATCGATGTTTTTCTCTCATCGATGTTTCTAACTCTCTATCCCTCTCTCTTCCTCTCTAAAAAATCAATAAAATGTATTTAAAAAAAAAGAATATAATTTATCCATGTGAACAGAATCCCAGACTATGAAGAACTGAATAGAAATGGGCCCTGCTTCCCCCAAGTTCCAGAAAAATATACTCAGTGGAGGGGAGTAAAATGAAGTTGTGGCTACCCTTTGCTCCAGACAGGGATTTGGGGGACTCCTAGTGACCTCAGAGGGACTTGTGAGGCAGGGAGTCAAGTAGGGGCTACACCCAGGGTGTGTAAATCCATAAGATGATGGTAGGATCTTGCTCTAATCTGTACGCTTTAAGACTAGTCTATCCCACTTTCCTGGGGATTCTGCTATTATATGAATGAATGAATATATGTTTTAGAAAGATCTGTACTATACAGTACACATACATATTATATTTGGTAACTACAGAAAAAAGAAAGCATAGGGCTCTTGGTTACGAACTCCCTCCGTAACTCATTGTTTCTATGGGAAATACAGCGCTCGATCTCCAGTATTGTGTCCAAAATTTCAAACTCTGTTTAGACTGGTTGACCGTAGCACTGGGATATTGCTCACCTGGAACTTCTCCAACTCGCTGGTAACCAGGGCCTGGGCTTGAGCCAGAGGTGCGTGGCAGCGCTCAATGCACTGGTGCACCTGCTGCATGGACGCCTGGCTGTCCTCACAACAGTCAGCGCTGCACCGGAACATGAGGCCCTGGGAAGGGAGGGCAGAGAGAGGTCAGGTAGGGACAGAGATGACCAATGAAGTGCAACAGGGGTTAGGGGGAGGGTCTATATATTTGCACCTCTCCTCAGACCAGCCATCGGGACGTTAAGACCACAAACGGGAAAACTATCCTCAGTGCCTCGCAGAGTGTTTCATAGCCTTCTTGCTCCTATCTCAGTGGCAACTGTTGCCTCCAGGGCTGGGTGGACACGGAGGTGGCGGTGGGTCAGAGGAAGCCAAATTCTGAAAACCAGGTGCCTATACCGCAGAGTTCAGAGGCCAGCAACCTAGTAATCGAAGTTGCACCAGGGGGCAACCCATCCATTAATTAATGGCAAGGGAAACTCACAATCCTGTCAGGGAGGCAGGACCAACACCACAAAATATCAGGGGATCAAAGCGGAACAACATATAAACCAGCGCTTGGTGCCCCGAGACCTGGCCATGACCTGGCCACCGAGGGGCGGAGCACTCTCGCCTTCCCGTCCCTCACCTGGGCTGGGCTTGCCCCGCGGGCAGCGCCCGTGCACAGGGGCCGGGCCAGAGGGGAAGGTGGCGGGGCAACACCTCACCCCGGGGCTCGCTAACCCTGGTCCGGCCCCCTTCACCCCCGTGCAGGCCGGGCGATAAACGGCCTTGAGCCTGGCGAGGACGCACACATTTCATCGGCTCGGCCGAAGCGCTAGAGTTTCTGCCCGAGGGCCAGGCCTACTTCCGGGGGCGCCACAGCGACCCCAGGGGCCCCGACCGGGCTCTGCGGGGAGGGGGCGGCTGCGGGAAGGGGCCGGGGATGCCGGACCGCACCGCCCGGGTTCCCTCGAGTCGGCTCCCGCCCGCTACCTGCATCTTCCGGATATTCTCTCTCTCTAGACTCTTCACCAAGGTGTCCACCGCCTCCTGCACCCGAAGCTGCTGCACGTCCGCCATGGCGACCCCGCGCTGCACCGCGCCGCGACGGCGCCCACATGGACTCCGCGCCCGGACCCGCCCCCTCGCCGCCGCTTCCCGGGTCACCGCGGCCGTCCTTCCCTGCCCACGCCGCCGCCTGGCGGCCGAGAGGAGCAACTGCACGCCGCGCGCGCTCCCCCCCTGCCCCGCCCCGCCCGCTCCCTCCTGCCCCGCCCGCTCCTTATTCCCCGCGCGCTCCCCGCTTCCCCGCGCTGTGGCTCCTTCCCCGCCCGCTACCTCCTTCCCCGCCGGCTCCCGGCGTGGGCACCCTGCCCTAGCCGCCTCCGGGAACCGACGGCTTATTCGCTTGATCCTGCACCGGGCACCGCAACTGCCTTACTCCCTTCCCTTCTTCTCTTCCTTCCTTCTCTTCCAACTCTTAACACATATTCAATACTTACAATTAACGTACAGAAATATGCTCAGATCTTAGGTGTACAGCTTATATATTGGGGGTAAGGCACCTTTCCATTATTTATTGGTTCAATAAATAACTCTCTTAATATCTAGAAGAATTAACATTTTCCAAGAAACCAAATTCACTCTTTTCTTCAAAAATTTTTACTGCACTGTGGCAGTTAGCTAGTGTCACAAAATTGCTGTGTGGCACACAACACTGCACATTTATTTCTCAGGTGCCTGAAGGCTTCGGCTAGGTTGGCCAACATGTGATCTTGACTGGGCTTACTCATGTGTCTGGGGATTGGGCTTGGAGGCAGCTGGTTTAGGCGGGGCTGGCTGGGTGACTGGGCTCTGCTCTGGGTGACCCTCCTCCTCCTCCTGGGACAGTGGGCCAGCTGGACCCATCCTCCTGGTGATGGCAGAAGCACAGCAGAGCAAGCCCAGATTGTCAAGCCTCCTCTTGCATCACATCCATTCTTATCCCATCGGCTAAAACAAATCAGATTCTAAAACACAGAATCAAGGGGTTGGAAGGTGTACTCTGCTTCCTGATGGGAGGAACAGCAAAGTCACATGGGCAAAGGCACAGGCACAGAGAGGGCTGGAGACTCATGGATCTGTTTGTTGAAACTCTTTAGCCTGGCGGGCTGGTGTGGCTCAGAGGCTGAGCATCGACCCAGGAGCCAAGAGGTTGCTGGTTCCATTCCCAATCCGGTCAGGGCACCTGTCTGGGTTCTGAAGATCCCCAGTAGGGGGCATGCAAGAGTCAGTCAGCCAAGAGAGGATGTTCCTCTCTTTCCCATGTTTCTATCTCTCCAGCCCTCTCCCATCCTCTCTCTCTAAGAATCAATAAAAGCATATTAAAAACAAAAACAAAAAAACCCCCAAACGATTTAGCTTTCTCATAACAGCAGCCTGTCTTACAATGCTGAAAATTCAGTAGGGCCTGGCCTTTTAAGGATTACATATAGGAACAATCTCAAAGCCTTAAAATGCAAATTGTAACACCCAATTTCTATCATTAGATTTACAAAAATAATTAATAGTTTGGGAGTCATAATTATACAGATTCTACAGGTTAGGTTTAGTGCACGTAACTGACTCATCTATGTCCGTTCCTTGGATGAAGACTCACCTCTGAGTCTTGGACCAACATCTCTTCCCTTTACACCTTGAGCTTTAGCCCAGAAAACTCAGGTTATTCTTGGGAATGGCGGGAGGCAGTTTTAAAGTCACAGCACAGAGCTACATGCAGTTCATAGGAAGGATTCATTCTGAGTAATAAATAAATGTATTTATTTTAATTATGCCTATAAACATTGATTTTGGGGGGATGGCTACTATTATGTGGCAAGGTTTTAGGGGATTTGAAAGGAATATGACAGGGTTTAATTTCTTAAATAAGCACTGCTTTATCACAATTATTTTTTTCCAAATGGCTAATTCTCAGTATTATTCCATTTTTTGTTGTTGTTGTTGTTGTTAATCCTCACCGAGGATATTTTTCCATTGACTTTTAGAAAGAGTGGAAGAGAGAGGAAAATACAGAGAGAAACATCGATGTGAGAGAAACACATGGATTGGTTGCCTTCTATAGGAGCGGTGACCAGGTCTGGGCCTGCAACCAAGGTACATGCCCTTGACCGGAATCAAATTCGGGACACTTTGGTCTGCAGGCTGTTGCTCTATCCACTGAGCAAAACTGGCTGGAACCCATTTTTCTAAAAAATGTAAATCATTTAGGACAATAAAGCACAGTGAAGTGAAGATGAGTGCTATGGTCTGAATGCTTGTGACTCCCACCACGCCCCAAATTCATAAATTGAAATCCTATTGCGCCAGCTAATGGGATTAGGAGCTGGAGCTTTGGGATGGGATTAGGTCCTGGGGGTGGAGCCCTCATGAGGGGATTAGGTCCTGGGGGTGGAGCCCTCACGATGAGATTTGTGCCCTTATAAAGGAGGCCTGAGAGAGCTGCCTGCCACATTCCCCAAGTGAGAATACAAGAAGTCAGAAGTCTGCAATTGGAAGAGGGCCCGCACCGACCGACCATACAGGTACCATTGTAAGATACGATTTTTTCCTTCATAGTTCATAGTGAGTCCCATGTGGTGTGACTAGTCATGAGCAGGAGGACCACCGTGCACCTTGTCATATTTTAAAATTAGTTTGATTGTGACACTAGCACTGCATAGAATCTTGACTTCATTGCTTTCATCAAAAGATGATTTAATTCTAAGGGTAACTTGAAAGGATAATTGTTGGAGTTGGCAACTGATGAAAGATTGAAAATGAATAGTGAAAATATATTATTTGTTTCATTTTAGATAAAAGTTAAAGACGAACATTTGGAGAATTTCGCTCTTCTGCTCCTGTGGAGAGGATGGCTCTGAAGACCGTGCCCAAGGACACACGGCATCTGCGGGCTTGTTTGTTGTGTTCGCTGGTCAAGACTATAGACCAGTTTGAATATGATGGTTGTGATAATTGTGATGCATACCTTCAGATGAAGGGTAACCGAGAGGTGGTGTACGACTGCACCAGCTCTTCCTTTGATGGAGTCATTGCAATGATGAGTCCAGAGGACAGCTGGGTCTCCAAGTGGCAGTGAGTCAGTACCTTTCAGCCTGGAGTGTATGCAGTGTCAGTCACTGGTCGCCTGCCCCAAGGAATCGTGAGGGAGCTGAGAAGTCGAGGAGTGGCCTACAAATCCAGAGACACAGCTGTAAAGACCTAGCAAGATGTACGGCTGCCAGTGTCTTTGCCACCGCCTCCTGCCTCTGCTTATTTTTTGTTGTGAAACTAAATGGACAGAGCTTCAAATAAATTTGTATTATGGAAAAATAAATAAAAATATGGCCTTGTATTTTGCTTCTTCCCCCCACTTTTCAAGTCAGTCAGATATATATATATATAATGCTAGATTGATAGAAACATTCCAACTATTATACCGAGAATTCTTGTCTACCCCTCACCAGTTTTCCCTAATGTTCCAGTAACATGGAACATTTGTTAAAACTAAGACGTCTGCATATTATTATTAACTAAGCTGCAAATTTTACTCAGATTTCACCAATTTTTTGTCATAACGCACTTTGATGTTCCTGGATCCAATTTAGGATACCACACTGCATTTAACATCTAGGAATTTTGTCAGAAAATATAGTTAGACAAAAATCCAAACCAAAACTGGATTCTGTTCAGATTCTTTCTAAGAATTAGTGTGCTGCAGTTATAATCAGAATTATATTAATATATGATAAAATAAAATTTTAATCCTATTACTTTCTTTCAAGTTTCAAACTGGAGGACCAATCAGACCATTACTTACACAATTTACTACCAAATTTACTTCCCATTTGTAGAAATTTAACTTTAACCAGTTTCTTTTATGCTCTAACTATGCTTAGATAACTACAATAGATGGTTAGCGAGGCTTCCTTAAAATACGCAATAGAATTTGTGATCAGGATCTGTGGATTAAAAAAGTAAGTAAGTTTGATGTCTGTATAATCAGTGGAACTGTGTGTAATATGCATATTGTTCCTTTGAGCTACAAGTTAAATAAACGAATAAAGCAAGACAAGTTTTTTTTTCCCCAAATATATTTTATTGTTTTTTTACAGAGCGGAAGGGAGAGGATAGAGAGTTAGAAACATCGATGAGAGAGAAACATCGATCAGCTGCCTCCTGCACACCCTCCACTGGGGATGTGCCCACAACCAAGATACATGCCCCTGACTGGAATCGAACCTGGGACCCTTCAGTCCGCAGGCCGACGCTCTATTCACTGAGCTAAACCGGTTAGGGCTTTTTTTTTTTTTTTTCCAAGACAAGTTTTGATACAGTTTGGAAAGCACAGATGAAGCACTGTCAGACGTTAACTACTCTCTGAATGCCGCTTGTTGCACAAATATATACTTTCAAACAGATATGCAGCACTGTAGTAAAAAAAAGATTTTCATTCAGTTTAGGAGTATTCTATTTCACCAAGATCACTTTTATAATGTTAAAAAATGAGCCCCCATGGATATGCAGCTTATATATTGGGGGTAGGGCACCTTTCCATTATTTATTGGTTCAATAAATAACTGTCTTAATATCTAGGAGAATGAACATTTTCCAAGAAGCCACATTCACTCTTTTCTTCAAAAATTTTTACTGAACTGTGGCAGTTAGCTAGTGTCACAAAATTGCTGTGTGGCACACAACACTGCACATTTATTTCTCAGGTGCCTGAAGGCTTCGGCTAGGTTGGCCAACATGTGATCTTGACTGGGCTTACTCATATGTCTGGGGATTGGGCTTGGAGGCAGCTGGTTTAGGCGGGGCTGGCTGGTGACTGGGCTCTGCTCTGGGTGACCCTCCTCCTCCTCCTCCTCCTCCTCCTCCTCCTCCTCCTCCTCCTCCTCCTCCTCCTGGGACAGTGGGCCAGCTGGACCCATCCTCCTGGTGATGCAGAAGCACAGCAGAGCAAGCCCAGATTGTCAAGCCTCCTCTTGCATCACATCCGTTCTTATCCCATCGGCTAAAACCAATCAGATTCTAAAACACTGAGAATGAAGGGGTTGGAAGGTGTACTCTTCTTCCTGATGGGAGGAACAGCAAAGTCACACGGGCAAAGGCA